CATATGATATGACTAATTAGGACTTTTTTTTGTACTATAGTATCTATGAGGTTCCTTCAAAAATTCAATGATATAGTCTACATATTATTTAATGATGCTAAAGCAAGTATAAAGATCAATGGATCCGTCTCCAAATCTTTTCATATAGAAAAAAGAATAAGATAAGATTGCTCACTTGATCTATATTTATTTCTTATTGTGGCAAAGATTCTCATTACAATGATCATGCAAGAAGCAAGCCTAGGATTGATAAAAAAGATTCAACTATCCATAGTCTATAGACAATAAATTATGATACAATATGTAGATGATATTTCTTTGACTTTTTTAAATACATATATATATATATATATATATATATATATATATACATATAAAATATTATCTATATAATTAAAATATTTTTCTTGAAATATGGCTTGATTTTGAATTTGCATAAATCAAGTTGATATTGAAAAAGTTACTATATATAAATCCATCCACTATGAACAAGTAATTTAGGCATATCATGGTTTGAAGATGATAAAAGAAGTAAGCTTTTAAGTGCACCATTTGAACTCTCATTAACCTTAATACATTTTGATATCTTTTCATAATAAAAAAATAAACAAAAAATTAAACCATTAGAGCTTATGTATGATCAATGTAATAAGAAGGAATGTAATTGTCAATGTGGTCTTACTTTTCACAATTTTTTTTTTTATCTCTCTTTAGACAAGATAAAAAGATACATTTTTAAAATTAAAGCATCTTTTAGTAATTACATGGCAAGTGGTACAATGCAAAGGACTCACACTAAGATAGCTTGGTTATAATATTGTCAATCTATCGATAAGAAAGAAATCAACCTTATAAATTTAATAAATGCAATTATTGCCTTATTATTCAAATGGAGTATTAAAGCAATGGAACCATCAAACTCAAATCTACATGTCTTATTAAGACACTACTTTAGTTCATCTTAATCATATGCAAGAGAGATGTAGAAACAAAGTTTAGAATTCTTCACCAAACCTAAAGATCAAAGTTGAAAAGACTCAATAGTATGGAATAAAATTATATCAACTTAAAAAGATCTCTTACTCAAGGTATCATATCTATCTTTTATTTATTAAGAAGAATAGAATAATTGTAGCATTTGGTACAATCCAAAAATCAATAGCATGAAGGTCAAAATTTCAAAACAAAGAGTATTAGAACTATATAAATAAGGCATGAAATTACATGGCAATATTTGGAAAAATAATAACTTCTTAAGCTTTGTAGAAGGTACAAATTGCTTCAAATTGATGCCACGTGAGGAAAAAGAATGAAAATTCTTAATTATTATGATATGACAATAAAAATAATTTATCTTACTAAACCTAATTCATGAGCTTAGAAACGATGAATGGATTGATATGTTCTAAAATGAAGTATCAAAGTCACCAAATGTGATTTAGAAATCTATGGCAAATTACCAAAGAAATCTAAGCCTAAAAGAGTTTTGGATCTTTTTTTATATTTTCATGTACAAACTCAAAAGAAGCAAAATGGACTCTTTGAACTCTTATTAGAGAGGTAGAGGGTCCAATCTCCCTCAAGCACATTGACAAATACCAGTAGTACTTATCTTACCAACTTATTCAAAAAAATCCATATCACAATAGAAAAGAATAAACAGTCTAAGAAAATAACTTATTTCTAATATGGATAGATTGATTGCCTCATGTGGAATCTTAGTCAGTTTTAGTAGAAGAAAAGAGGGTACCTTCTATAGAATACTCTGCTTATGCTAATTACTTCATATTCATAAATTAATATATCATTTTTAATTTATTCACTTACAAATAGAAAAATATTATGCCATTATTATTTAAGTTGAAATAGAAAAATATATAGGATATAAAATAGATACAAAAGAAAGTTGGATTGATTTGGTTAACTTGGTATAGAGTAGTTGCGGTCAACTTGTAGCAATGAAGAATTTATAATAAAATTGATTAAAATTACCCAATCTATATAGTGAAAATATACGAATCAATACTCAATTGATTTTAGGAGTGTCAAGCAACAACAAGAGTGTGGAAGTGGAGAATATACATCATCCATCTTTTCATTCCAAACCCAGCAACAAGAGAGGCATCTAGATTAAGGCCTCAGAATAACATGAATTATGACATCTAATAAGATGAAGGCAATGAGCCATAAGATAACACCTTGATTGATTGTCCACAAGAATAAAGACTCATAATATTCACTCCTTTATGGATTCACTATGTCTTTGCATATTGCATCTCCAAAAGATTTAAGCAAGTTAGTTGAATCTACTTCCTACTCCATTAAATAGTCATGTGGATGCTTTATGTAGAATAAAATAATTCAATATTTAACAAGACCTTGTGGTCTCAAGAAGAAGTATACTACATAATATGGTTGAAACTAATTGATTATCAAAGGAATTCCTAGATTAGAATATGATTGTGTATAAAACATAGTCTTCTTCATATTATAGAATATTTTGAGTTTTTTTGTCAATAGTTGGTCCACAAATGTAACCTTGGCAATATGAATAAGTAACAAATCTAAATAAAAATTAATAGGACTAATTACTATATTTATCAATAATATATAGGTAAATATCTAATATCCCTAAGTCGACCTAGTTGAGATTTGTAACTTTTAAACTACCTGCAATTGAGATGTAAGTCTATTTGAATCAAAAAATAAAATAAAATAAAATAAAACTTTTAAAACACACCAATAACCAATCTCAATAAATGGCTTGACTCTTCAATGCTTAAAAAAATAACTTATATAAAATCCAATAAGCTCCTGTAATTGTTATTTCAGACTAATCTAATTGGAATAAACTTGTATAGGGGGATTTGAATACGGGAAAAGACTATCCGCATGAGTTTTCATGTTAGGGTCACACATTTAATTGTCTCCTGATCAACTAAAACACCGAAGAATGCTATATGTCTTCCAAATTCTATCAAAAAAAATATTACAATCGATAATTCTATCTTATGTATCTATTGTCTCCTCTCCTCTCCAAACTTATGACAACAATAGGTTATACTACACTATCTTAAAAGACTACATGAAACATTCCAAAATCCAATCACTGGAATTTTCCAAACTAATTGTCATTCCCATTAATCTGCTTCACAGAATTCCAAACTCTACATACTTCTTCTTGAATTTCAATATTCAATGTATTATAATTCTCCCAATTATATCCATACTTCACAAACATCTTCTATTATCAACTATCCAATCTTCCACTTATAATTCAGCACACAATAAATTTGATTTCTCATTTAATATCATCTATATCAAATCTTTCATTTATTCTAGAATTTCACTTCGTAATATTCAAAAACTATCCATCACTCTTATTCTATAAAGATGATAAAGAACAAAGAGGTAGCACTAAGCTTACCTTGGCTTATGACTATCACAGTTTGGTCCTTTCTACTTCTTCTTCAACCTACTTATGTTTTCTTTGAAATGCCAACCACTACATAATTGGTGATAACAATTTTTTTGACTACATCATCTATTCTGCCTACTAAACTATCCATTCATCAGTTTACTAGCTTCTCTTAACCCTACATACTAGGTATTATAAAACAAAAAAATCCTACCTGTTCTACAGCTCCCAAGATGGATTTCTATGATTGGAGTTTTGTCTACATATGAATTGAAAGACTTGATAATTTTTTAATGCCCTTCTTTTCTTCAAGAGCAATTACAAAGATTGCATCCTCTATACCTCAGCTATGTCACAATAATGTTTAAAAAAGTAAAATATATAAGATTTTTATGTAATTTTTTAAAAAAATTAAAAAATTAAAATAAAGAAAAGAAGCTTCAATGACAATTAGAATGACAACAACAACAACAACAACAACAAAAAAAAAAAAAACACAAAAACACAAAAAAACACAAAAAAAAACACAAAAGCCATAAAACTCCTTTTAAATGTATGTATCTAAATATATATATATATATATATATATATATATATGTGTGCGTGTGTGTGTGTGTTTGTGTGTGTGTTTGTGTGTGTGTGCATATAATTTGATAACAAACTTCTTTTATCATCAACTCATTGTATTCTTTTGTATTATACTGATTGTGAAACAACCTGTATGGATCATGTTAAACAACTTTGCAGGTTCACAGGATTTTATGACATTCAATATCCTTGCCTACACCAGGTCCAACAAACCAACTCTAGTGAACCTAGACTCTGGAGAATATTTGGGAACTATAAGCTTCCGAAGCTTGGCTACATGTCACACCCGAATCACTAACAGTAGCAACCATTCCAAATCATAAACAAGTCTTCAAATGCTCGACAAGCCACCATCAAAGATCTCTCAACACCAAGACACAGCGTTCTAGGATGTCTGGAATGACTGGTACTTGGGTAGATGTGTCTAGTGCTCCAATACTTTGGCTGCTACACAAGGGTTTGCAGAGCTCTGGGTTCTAGGTGTTGCCTCAAATATCACTACCTTCCTATAACGGAGTCGTGAACAGCGTCCAACAGGTGTCAAACCTGTTGAGATGTCTCTTTAACCAATCTCTAGAGGTACACTGTAATATCAGCTGCCCCACTATAATAAGCCAATATCATTTTGAGCAGTTAGCTGTTATTCCAAATGGTGTTGACTTGTGGGTGATGCGGACGCGCGTTTGGTGTAACAAATTTCGGGAAAGATGGATGAGGCATCTAGTAACGAACTTTGCAGAAGCATCCAGTGCCACCCTTAAAGACAGAACTGGTAGGGACATTGTTGCTTAGGACATCTACCATGCAGATATGTGTGAAGAAATCATATGAGTGCAGGTCTTCAGGTCATGATCATATTCGATCAAGCATACGACATCACACTCGATGGACAGGAACGGATGTGTGGAATTTGCGTAACAGATGAACAGAGAGCGCATTCAATACATGCAACAACACACCAGCAGACCCATTACTCATTAACAAGAGCGGAAAGTGGACACGGGATGAGATTTTCAGTGTTCAAAAAGAAGTATAAACTATCCTTTCAATGAATGCTCCGAAAGACGAAGCACAAACGTGCGCGACCACGCAAGACGCTTCTCTGAGGTTAGACTTTCCTCCGACGAATATACAACGGAACGACTAAACTTAAAGAAGACGTCATTACCCATGTTGGCTCAAGTGTCAGAGCGAACCTAAACAAACATACTGGTACAACACAGAGCGGATCTCTTCAATGGAAGTCGCCCGTGAGAACTTTTAAAAACTACCAAGCCACATCTCCACGTTGCCACATCCCTAGCAAGCTGCGCTTGACTGTGAAAGATGTGAAAATCCTGGCTTCGCAAACGTCAGCGACCTGTTGTCCACCGTCGCTACTCTCTCGCATGATGGACACATCGTCAGCGTCGCCGCGGGCAGAGGCATGTAGAAATCGTGCGATATCACGCACGGTGGCGCCACCTTGATCGCTCGCAGCTCCTGCAGCTCCTTCTGCAACCTCCTGTTCTCCTCCGTCAATGTCTCCACACATCGCTTCAACAGCTCGCAGTCCACTTCCGTCTGTTTCAGCTTCGTCCGCGCCCTCCTGTTCTGGAACCACACCTCCACCTGCCGCGGCCGCAGCCCCAGCTGCTTCGCCAGCGCGTTCTTCTGCTTCGGGTTCAGCGTGCTGTGCTCCTTGAAGCTCTCCTCCAGCAGCGCCGACTGCTCCTTCGACAGCCGCAGCTTCTTGCGCGCCGTCCCTTCGTCCTCGTCGTCGCTGCCCCCTCGCGAGCTCATCTCGCCCGTCGCGTTCCTCTCCAGATCAAACTCGTGCTGAATTTTCCCCCGTCCCCGCTTCATCCCGATGCTGCTCGGCGACGACACCGCCGCCTCCTCCTCTCCATCGGTCGACGGTATCTGGTTAACGTCGATACCGCACCGGGGCGACCCGCCCCGCCCCCCGCTCGTATACGTCGTCACCTCGCCGTCCTCGTTCCCGCTCCCAGAGTTCGTCCGAGAACCCACCAGCGGCTGCCAAGCCAGCCCCCGGAAAGACGTCGACGACGGCACGGACGGAGCCGTCACCAGCGAGTTCGAATTCGACTGCGACGAAGGCCTCAGCGGCAGGAGATCCAGCTGCACGGGGCACGCCCGCGGACCACTACCATCCCCGACTCGCTGCACCATGGAGAACTCCATGCCCAGGCCCAAGTTCGCCCCATAGTTGGCCATGGCCCTCATCCTGTGGGCCTCCTCGTGCATCGCCCTAACACCTCCCTCCATCATCGTCGTCATGCTTCTCCTACCCCAACGCCACGTTACACTCCCACCCTCCCCCCGCCCCCCAGCCGCTCCAGTTTTCCCCTCCTACAACACCACCCTCCGCTTCACAGCATATCATGCTCCATGTTCCAGCATCCACTGCAAACCATTCACAAACAACCCCTTGCTACTCTTCTCCACTCTATACACCTCCAAGTCACAATAACAATCAACTCCCTGCAATGACCATGCTAAAGGTTAAAATAATTGCGTTTGGATTGAAATGGTGTGAGACCAGCAGCACCAGCAGCAGGGGCGATAGAAACAGCTGATAGTGGAGCAGTCAACAGACGTTGGGCCATTCACAGTGGTGAGTGCATTATCTCCCAGAAGCTGAGGGTGAGGGATATAGGCAGCAAGCCGGACCGGGTCTAGAGGGGTCAGTCGGCTCAGAGGCACCCACAACCCGCAGGAACGGCGGGCGCGGGTTCGGCCAATCTGGGGGGTGGCCCAGCAGATGATTGGATGTTTGCCAGTTTCCACGATGGAGGGGTCGTGGATGCGGCCTTTGGTCGCTGCACTGTTTATCCTTCCCCCGTCCTCGAGTCACCCCCCCCCCCCTCACCCCCGCTCTACTCCACGATGTGGGTGTCACGGCGTCCGGAGCTTCGGCGACGAAGGCCACTCCTGATAGTGGGGCTTCTCCACTGGTGCGCTCTGGTCGCATTTGGTTCCTCTTTTGGCTGCTAGCATAACCCCAAATCTGATGCGTTGCGTCGCTCTGGTCCAGCCAAAATTCTCTTTTAACCACTTGGTACTCCAGAGATGGACATGCAGTGCGACCCCATTCCAATTTGGCCCTGATATAAAATCTGTGTTGGAGGAATGATGTGCGAAAACGCCGCCCCTCTTATTTAAAGGCTTCCGCGCTGTCGTCGAGAATTAAGTGTCGCATTTTGAGATCCCCCCCCCCTTTCCACCCCTTTATCGTTTCTTTTCTGATTATTCAAGTGTGGAATCTACTGAAGCCCACCAGTGAAAATTCATTTCCACTCGCAACTTCATGCCTCTCATAAATGATCGAAACAAAGTGGCAACCGCTTGTTATGAGGTCATCCTTATCTTCTCTGTCTTCCCAATTGCTGCTACCATTCTTCTAACCCACATTTTGCTTTCAGATCACATTTGCATAATAATTTGCTCTTGAGGGCTACCCGCCTCGACCGCCCATCCCCGTGATTAGTAAACTATTTCGTTCGCCATCTTTATTAGCTCCGCACAAGCAGTCGAAAACAAACCTTTAATTAGTCAACTTTATGGTGTTGTCTCAAAGCCAAAGTTTCGTTGATATTCTCCTTATAATCAATCCAAGGGAGCCCAATTCAAAAGTGTTTTGTGGAACTAAATATTAAACACATAAGGAATGCTTTTTATCATTCATCATTTGGGTAATGATTGCGTCTTTCTAAGATCGCTTTTAATACCACATGGGAGTTATGATCATGGGAAATAAAGATACGGAAAAAGTCGGGTTTGAATTTTCTGATAACTAATCTAAAAGTTGGTATAACTTGCAAAAGTGACATTTGATGGTATTTGATACATTGAATGCTTGTGTAGAAAGTCCCTTTTCAATGTATTTGATACATTGAATGCTTGTGTAGAAAGTCCCTTTTCAATGTATTTGATACATTGAATGCTTGTGTAGAAAGTCCCTTTACAATGTCATTTTGTGGAACTAAATATTGAACTTTCATGTTGTCACTTGAGTGCAGAAATTTAGAACCATTCCTCTATACACCATATTTACGAAAGTAGTGGATGTATACAAAAAAATAAGAAGCCTAATGTAGGAATGTAATTGAATGGTATGTGAGTTGTAAAATCCAAACACTCATAAAGCCAAAGAGTAGTTATCATATTGAGTTATGTTATTTCATTTGCCTTTTCTATCCAATAATGCCAAAAAAAAATTAAATTAAATTAAAATAACTATCTTATTTTTATTGGTGGTTTTTTTCTAAACATTTAAAATAATGAAATAGGATCACACCCTGGTTGACATGTATTTAAAATTGTATGAAGAAGAATATTTCAATGTTTTAGCCAATCACAGATAAGTTAGAATCCAGTCAATCAGGTAATTGACTGAAGTTTATAGTCACCTTGTAACAATTGGAATTCAGCCAACCAGGGAATTTCATGTATAGACAGTCATATATATATACAAGATGTATGTGTGTGTGTGTGGGTGTCAGAATACTTTAAAATGAGCATGTATTCTAAGTGATTTGAATTCTTCATCTACAAGAATAAAGAAACAAAAAAGATGCATGTATTTTTTTACATTGTACTTTTCTTCAATAACCTTCATGGCAATTGATTTTAAAATGAAATCGAAATAAATAAGAAAGCATGAGAATCTTTATTTACTTTTCAATTTGTTTCGAGTAATGAGAAAAAAGGACCAAATTATACATACTGTGATAATATTACTATCAATTTCAACTTTGTGCTTCTCTCATTTTAATGCATGTGTTAAACAACTTAATATATCATACAGAACAATCCCAAATTATAATTCATGACCACCATTTAAAAAAACTTGTGATGGGCCAATTTTCAAATAACTATAACTTGATAATCTCACATTGAATTTTACTTCACATGAATCCTTCTACTCAGGATAAATTGTTGGGGTGCATCTATTAAATATTAATGAGGATAAAAAGCCTGGACAATATGAATTTAACGGTATCTAGTGTTATTGGATGATTTGGGATCATCTTGGACCAAATAAATTTGAGAATTCTGGGTAGTGCTTAGGAGTATTAAAAAAAAAAAAAAAAAAAAACCTTTTACTTCTTTTTTCCTTTATCTTTTATCTTTTCATGAATGAGAAGGAGAAGCATCTTTACGCATTCAAGCTGAAGGCTATCTCCAAACCGGCCCTCTAACAGAATCCAATTCCACCCAGGAAGATCTCCTTTGTCAGCAATGCTTGGATGGATGAAATGTACAAGATTGGATGAGTTTAGATGAATAGAATAAAATGGATTTGTAATTACATCAGCCTTTCCTCCAGAGGTTAGGGCTACGTCAGCAAAGCTTCTATCTCTATACCCACCCGTGTAACAGACCTAAAGTCGATGAATTATGGATGAATGCCCCTCACCCAAGCATAGACACTGCAGCATTGCCTTTCTCTGGCACTCCATTTCAGTCTTTTTGTATGTTGTAAGTGTACAATGAGGAGATTATGGAACAACTATCAAAGAAACCTGTATAGTCTTTAGTATTATACTTTGCCACTTTTCACATGTGGTTGTTTATTTAAAGTGTGTATATAGGTCAATTTTGCATTTCCTTAATGAATAATAGTGGTTGATGTTTCAACTTCTTGTATGAATGGCAACAATAAAGAAGCCACATGTATTCCATAACTTGTAGCCATTAAACAGTTTCTGCAATTCAAACCAATTGAAAAACAAATGCTCTGAAAAAGTCCTCACATTATGTACACAAGATGTGAAGTTCAACTACCATGGACCAAAATCAATTCAAGTTTCTGCAATAAATTGTACATTTGGATGTTGTAATTACCTTTGAATAATGAGGTTATTATTATTATTATTATTATTATCATTATGTTCTTATTTACGTACATTTTGTAAAACTCCCAATTAGAAATTAAGGAGTTTTTGAAAAATTGATAGATGCACAATGTTCATTTTTAGATTTCTGTAAATATACAAGCAAACTATGGTTTAAAAATAATGGTGATTCTTTGAAAATCATTCAAGAGATACATTAATTAAATTCTGTATATTAATTAGTAATACATATATTGTAAGCATAAAAAAAATTGTATCTTTGTATATAAATCTATTAAAGTATAAATATGCATATTCTAATTTATAGGAATTATGCTAAAATATTTATGCATATCATAATAAATACATAAACATATGTTACAAAAATAACAATCTTACAAAAATGGCATAACATTCTTAACAAATAATTGGATTTTATGTTATTTTAGGTCAAACAAACATATACTATTTTCAAATATTATAAAAAATATATAAGAAATATACAAGTTTTTATAATATTATTTGGATGATTTATATAAATGAATCAAATTTCATAATCTTTAGTTAAAAGAAGCACATATTTTAAAAAATATGATTTTTTATTTTTATTTTTATTTTTATTTCATTATAGTTTTTGGAGACTATATGGTTAAAATTTAAATTTTATTTGATTACACATTTAGATAAAAACTTGGTAACAAACATCTAACTAAAAATCTCTTGCCCTACTTGTGGTAATCATATTACAAGACCACAACCTGGAATTTTAATATGTTATCTACTTAATAATCTATTTTAAATCCCCATCATTTTATAATCCATCTCCTTAGAAATGCATCACCTTAATTTGGATTTTTCTTAACTTTGAATAGTATCTTTTGCCATGAGATGTGGTCATTTTTTAGCAATTTAGACTATACAAGCTTTTTTCTTTGCTTGTAATTCCGAGTTTCTCAAATAAATTTCAGAATATTTTTTTGCATCTAATTTTTATATATTCATTTTTATAAATTCGATACTATAAAATTCAAAAAATAATAATCTTAGAATGAAGTGTATTGTAAAATAACTTGTTTTTAATGAAAATGCACTCCATGGTTTCTATTTACATAAATTTGCAACAAATACACTACATACTTAAATGCAATTAAAAAATTTGTATTTTTCTATTTTTTTTTGTATAAGGAATATACATATGAAAATTTTCTTGAATTCTTAAATTGATTATTAATTTCTATGTATTGAAAATTAAGCTATCATGCCATATTAGATATGTAAGTATGATTTTTTTATTTTTTATTTATTTTTTGCTTTAATTTTGACTAAGGTATTTTTAATTGAAGAAATTTGAAGTAATAATAAATCTTCAGAAAAAAAATATATATATATATATATATATATATATATATATAATTATTTTAATGATTTTTTTGATAAATTTTAATACATAAAAATTAAATTTAGTAAACACTCATTGTAGGTGAAATCAAAACACATACTCATCAAACTTTTGCCTATTTTCACTATAAGCACAATTTGGTGATACTTAAAAAAAAAAATTAAAAAAACAAAACAAAAACAACAACAACAACAACAACAACAACAACTTTAAGTTACGATACTTTAGCCTAGTTTCTTACCTTCTTACTTTAAAATACTAATTTTTTACAACATGATAATATAACATATAAGTTTTATACTTTTAATGTATCTATAAGGTTTAAAAAACATGTACTTACTTTTAAATCCTTAAAATTGAAAAGAACGTAATTTACTTTATTTAACAAGAATCATGTAATGAAGA